GACTACCCGCTTACGTCCCTACTATCAACAGAGATTTTTCTGGCCATATGAATCCTGTTACCTGGCACTCCTTTGCCATGCATAGTTACAGGAAGACACTTGTGTACTAAACTGGATGTGGGAAAGGATTAAAACAGTTAGTAATCATGTTATATTTGTACAGAACAATCTGTCAGAGTCTGGTAACGTACTTGGTTAAACATAGGACTTTACTGTTACATAACCTTTGTCCTACTGACTTTCTCCCTTCCCCCTTGTTAATTTTTATCTTTTGTCTAAAGTGTGTTGTAACTTCTTTGAGGCAACAACCCTTTTTTGTTGGTTTTTTGGTAACCTAAAATACAGCACCATAGATCAGATATTTGGCAAGTCATTGGATGTGTCTATACTGCATTTTAAAATTCACAGTAATGAATCTCAGGGCTGCACCATTGTAGCGCTTAATGAAGATGCTGCTACAGTATAATTAATCCACTTCTCTGAGAGGCAATAGCTATATTGATGGAAGAAGCCTTCTCATTAATATAGCATTCTCTACATCAGGATGGGCAATAACTTTTGATGGTGGGGGCCACTCAAGATTTTGGAAACTGGTCAAGGGCCGCATTCCTCCATGGTATTAATGGGAGAAGTGTGGGGTCTGGGATGGAGGTTGGGTACAGAAGGGAGCTTTGGGTAAGGAATTGGGGTGCAAGAGGGAGGAGGGAGTTTGGGTGGAGGAGGCAGTTGTGACCTCGGGCAGGAGACTGGGGTGCAGAGGTTTGGGATGTGACTTAGGATAGGAAGGGATTTTGATGTCAGGCAGGAGATTGGGGTGCCAGATCTGGGATGCCGTATGGGTGCATGTGAAGTAGCAGGACGGGAGTGGAGGGCAAAGGGTTGGGCAAAGGAGGGGCTGTAGAGCTAAATGCTTGTAGAGCTTCAAATGTTTCTGCCTGATCAGCCATGTGCTTGCATGAATAACTGAGTGGGAGCGTTGTGCTTCATGGCTGCCTATTATTCAAACAGGCAGCTCCCATTGGCCAGTTTCTGACCAGAAACTGGCCAATGGGACCGTCCTCTCCCCCCCCCCCCCCAGACTCATAAAGAGAAAATGCCCTGAAACTGTATTTCTGAGGGGGCTGCAGGAGAGCTTGCCTGCGGCTCCCCACTGCCTCCGTGGGCCGGACCTATTGGCTTTTGGACCGTATTTTGCCCAAGCCTGCTCTACATGTTAAGTTAGGTTGGTATAATTTCGTTGTTCAGAGGCATAGATTTTTCATACCCCCGACCAACGTTGCTATACCCATATAGGTCTGTATTGTAGACCTTCCCTCGGAGCCTTTTACAGACTTAGATTTGCTCTATGGCATTAAAAACAGCTTGTGGATAGTATGCCTCTGGATGGAGAGCAGGCTCTGAAACCTGTGAGGGTAGACTGTATTGCAGAGACCATGCTCCAGCCTGAGTCGCAATGTCTACGCTGCTGTTTTTAGCACTGTTGTGCAAAGCTGAGCCTGTAGATCAGGGCCCTTAGTCTTGCTGCCTTGGATTTTAAAATGCAGGGTAGACACAATCCTTTTGTTTCCCAGCTATTCCCTAAATGGTTTTCTGGGTCTGAGCTTCTTAAAAGTTGGGTCCCAGGAGCCCTTTTAGGAGACGTCAGAATGTTTCTTCATGAACAAGATAATAATATAACTGTCATTATCTACAAAGAGATCCTAAGATTTAAGTGCTTGTAGAAATTCAACCTGTCAATCATTCTCTTATTGGAAACTTTAGGAATAACTTTATTTTACTATTTTAAGTACAGTTGTATGACAGACCCTTGCACATTCACTAATTTGGATGTGGCTTGAGATGGTAATAAGTGGTGGTATGTTAGTGTCAGATTTTAGTGCATATTGGCTTTTTAAACTACACAACTTTGTGAATGAACTCCATCGTTTCTGCCTGAATGTATATATGGGAGTGTTCCAAATTTTATCATCCTAGTCTGACAGGTTCCTCCAATTTACAGGTAGAACTAAGACACAAATATACTGAGCAGAAAGTTTGAGTCTTCAGGTTTCAAGTGGTAAACTTGTGTTGGAAATCTTTTTTAATAAAACTCCGGTTTTGGACATGGAGGAGCCAAGGTAGATTCCCTTTCTTAAGTTAAAATAGCTTTGACTTCACTAAAAATTAGAATAACTAGCTTGTCCTATAGTTCAGTCACATTAATGGGAACTGCTTCCAAAGGGGGGCGTTACTGTCCCTTTTAAATATGGTTTTTACTTCCCTTGTAAAGTTCTTTCAGACATACATCTGCATAGTAACTATTGTAAAAATTAAAAAAAAAAAACCCCTAAACTACTAGGGAAAGCCCTAACATTGCTCCCAAAGGAAAGACCTGAGCTAACCCAAAGGGTTGTCCTGGGCCACTGCTCTGTCTTTTGGTGTCCTATAAGGGTTTATTCTCTCTCCCATTTTTTTCAATGGCTACATGACGCCGTTGGAAGGGCTAGTGAAACACATGGACTGAAGTGTGAGCAATACGTGGATAATAACCAATTCCATACAATCTTTACATCTGACAATACTACCACCAAGCTTTTCTTGTGGAGATCATCATGTGGATGAAGAGAAGCTGGCTGACAGTGTGGATGAGATTGAAGTAATACCTGAGAGATGAGGGAAGCAACCTAATGAATATCTGAGACTCACTGCTTTGAATTTTAAAATGCAATATAGACCTATCCAATGACTTGCCAAATATCTGATGTTGGCCTCGTCTATGATGCTATCTATATTTTATGTTGCAAAAAATAGGTTATGTCTCAAAGAATTTACAACTCAGTTTAGACACAAGATAAAAATGAACATGGTGAAAGGGACAAAGTCAGTAGGACAAAGATTATACAACAGTAAAGTCCTATGTTTAACCAAGTACGTTACCAGCCAGTGACACAGATTAAATACATAAACTTTCAAACTGTAATAGAAGGAATAAGCAGATTATTTGTATTTTCTGTACTGCCCACAGTAACTATTTTGGAATGCTAATTATGTAAATGCTTCTACTATGTAAAATGGTTCTTCCACTATGCATTTTTTAAGACGGTCAGTCAATGTATTAAGGTGTATGCCCTTTCAAAATAAACTCAAAGCATAGATGGTTTCAGTCATCTGTTTCAATCTATTTAATTGTTTTTGGCAAAATACTCAAGTATAAGTTTAAACGGAATGGAGTGTTTGGAGAAAGCCAAAAGAGTCTACAAAATAAACAGAGCTGGGGGAAGAGAGGGAGTTGTAGGAAAGCTTACTCTTTAGTGGGTCAAAACAGTCTCCTAGAACCTCATACATAATTATCAGTTATGCAGGGAATATCTACATAAAAATTAGTGTTTTCAGATTCTGTGCCTGAATCTGAACACAGTGCCTACTGAAATACTTATTTCAGTTAATTAGGAAACAATAGGCTGAAAAATCAACATAATATTTTTAGTGTTCTTATAAGAGTCTTGCAGACTCTTAAGGTAAATCTGTGGTACAGAATCAAAATGGTCTCCAATTGCGGGGTTTTTTTTATAGCTGATTATTTTTTATAGCTGATTATTACGAGTCTCTCAATTGGGAGGGTAAGCTGTTAAAACAGATTCCAATATATAATCCAAGATTTGTATTTGCTAATTAAACTACTTCACTCAAATCCTTTTTTTTAGTGTACAGCATTTTATTGAATAGGACAAATACATGTTTTGACTTTAAATAGCTGAACGGCGTGCAGGTTTAGTCCCTATCTTTCTCTCTGCAGGTCAGCAATTGTCTGATGTGCTTTGCGCAACATTGGCGATCAAACCATAAATAGCAATAACTATTTTCATAGGCTTTCATTTCAAGGAAGAAAATCACATACTGTACTAGTTATGTAAGTTGACTCTATTCATGACCGTTGGCCAATTTAAGCAAAATAAAACGTGTGTTTCAGAGGAGAATTCCAAAAAGGGCATTTTGAATGCTGCCTTTAAGTAAACAAAGTATTTTGCTTCAGAATAAATTATTTAATGTGTTGATCCTTCAGATAAATACCACAAGAATCTTAGTCTGCTAAATAAATGTAACTTAAAATATATAGTATGCAAAAGCATCAGCTTTATTTTTGCTTTTGTAGATCAGCATGTTAAAGCATGCATCACATGGCTTTGCATTCTATTGATCATGTGAAACTGATACTTTTTATATCTTCAGTATGCAGAATGTTCTGTACTGTGCACAAAGCATATAGGTTTAGTGTATTGAACCAGGAAAGAAAGTCGTATCATCTGACTTGTGATTCCTTGTGCAAAAAGCTGTGGGTGATGTATTTTCAAATCAAGTTTCTTATAAAATAGGTAGAAGTACTGTATTTGTTCGACAGGCTTATAATTCAGGAGAGTTTAAACAAATCCATATACCTAAGCTATTTATGATAGTCTTCTAAACAATTTTCTTGTTTTCTTTCCTCCCCTTCTTCATGGTTTGTGTGCCTAAATTTTTATTCGAGACATATAGTTCAGTCTAAATTACACTGGGATTAGCTGCTATTTAAAAGCTCAGAAACAATGTGTTGCAGGTTCTACTTCTGTTACGCTGTGTTTTCTTGATTGGCCAAAAAGTATGGCTTTTGCTCATTCAGTAATGCACCTGACCAATGCTTAATTTTCAGTACACTAATAGTCTGCTGGAGACAGTTGGGCTATTCACATGACCAAAGTTAAACAAGTGCATAGGTACCATGCTGAACTAGGACTACTTATTGTAGAATTGAAAAGGGTTTCACTTGTACAGCTACAGGTATAGTCTTGTATCTTGTTAAGATTATTTTTCAAAGGAAAGAATGCTAGTTAAAATGAGTTAACATATGCATAACGTAACAATTTGGCAGACATATCACAAATGTTAAGTGCACTTTATCACTGCACTTGGATTTAAGTTTTAAAAAAGTACTGTATACATAGCATTGGGCACATGTAAAGCTTCAGTTTATATTTATCTTTTAGCTTGTCAAAATTCCCAAAGCTGATCTCCCAAATGAAGTGCATAACTTTAACTTCTACTTGTCAAATGTTGGCAAAGATAATCCTCAGGGAAGCTTTGATTGTGTCCAGCAAACTGTTTCAAGGTAAGCAATAATTAAATTTTGTCCTGAAAGAAAATACTACATTTGTTGTGTGATCTCAAACAGAGTGAAAAGTTGTAACACTTTTTTTTCAAACTATAGTAAAATATAACCTCTAGTTATAGTAGTATGGCCTTTTATAAAATATAAATACCTGCTTTTATATATTACTGTTCTTGTTTGACTTTCCAAAATTAAACTGAGTACTCTCTCACCTCACTAGTGCCATACTTAAAAAGTAGGCAGTATTGACAATGCTAGGATTACAACTGTGCTGCTACTGTTTGGATACAGCTATACTTGACAGGTTTCTAGCATGGTTTCTCTTGACTGTGATGGATAAGGATTTTTAAGAACTACTGCACTAATCAAAAATCATATCCACCATTTCATGACTACCCTGTTCTAGGACCTTGGTTACATCACAGCAATTCCTCGACACTGTATAGTTGGATTTGTAACAAGGTAATACACCGTTCACTTTCATCTATGCAGGCAAGAATGCTGTACCATGTTGGAGTAGAAACTTACAAATGGATTGAGGACATTGGTGTTTCTGATATTATAAATTGAAACTTGTTTTATAGACTCACTCCTTGGCTAATTTATAATATTAGAATGTGTCATTGGTGCATAGCTATGCATACTGATCAGGAAATTGAGCTAAAACTCTTGCATATAAATAGCCATGCTTATATATTGGAATAAATTACAGTTTTGGTCTAAGTCTAGACCAGTGTTTCTGTAAGTGGTCCACAAAGCCTCATGGCCCCTATTGGCTCCATTTCACTGTTTGCAGCCAAAGGGAGCCACGGAAAGTGGTGTGGGCTGGGCAGCACTGGCTCTAGGCAACAGCGAAGGAAGCACGTGCTTGGGGCAGCACATTGCCAGGGGTGGCATTCCAGCCCGAGGAGGAGTAGGCAGGGAGCCCCACGGAAGCCGCCCGAGCTGGGAGCCCTACGCCCAGCTGCTCGGAGCCTGCGCCTGGCCCTGGGGTGCTGGGGTGCTTCCTGGAAGGCGGGGCAGGGTGGCTGCTGCTGGTGACACTGAGCCCGGCAGGGCAGGCTGCGGCCATGGTGGCTGCTCCCGGCAGCCAGCTCCCTGGAGAGGAGTTCAGGGGCTCGGCAGCCTCTTGGGCTCAGCTGCGGCAGGGCCCCATCCCTCGAGCACCAGGGACAAGTGAGTCCTGCCTCTAGCTACAGAGACCCCGGCGCCAGGCTGTGCCGAGCCCCTGAGGGAGCCTGGCTGCCTGACTCTCCCTCCCTGCTTCCCACCCGTCCCTTCTCCCTCCGCTGGGGAGGGGAGAGTAAAGGGAGGGAAGGCTCCTCGGCTGGGCAGGCGGGGAGCGGACTGTACCAGTGCAGGGGTCTCAGGCGCTGGGTGAGCATTGGCTCCTCCCAGGATGGCGGGAAGCTTCGTGGGCCTGGCCGGGCTGCCATGCCCTAGGGCATCCCGAGCGCCATCCTTCCCCCGCCCCTCCAGCTGCAGCCACCCCGGCCCCGCACTCTGGGGCCCCGCCAGCCTGGCAGCGGGACAGGTGCCGACTCCACCACTCCCCGGGGGGCAGATCCCTGGGGCACACATGGCCGGCTGAGCCCGTGGGGGCCCCCGGGAGCAGCTGCCAGTACCTGCAGCCATGGACCTCTCAGCCAGCCCGCACCTCGGGGCTGCCTGCGCAGAGTTCTCAGCACGCCTTGGCCAGGCGCAGGCTCCGAGCAGCTAGGCGCGGGGCTTTCCGCTCGGGACAGCCTCCGCGGGGCTCACCGCCTACTCCTCCGGCGGGCTGGAATGTGCATTGGAACAGTGCCCCAGACCAGCCTCCACCAGTGCCTCAGCTCCCTGCCTTGGCTCCCTCCACCTACACCTAGGGCCAAGAGGGGAGCGTGCCTCCCTGGGGGAGAACACACGTGGGGGGAGGCAGCGCTAGGAAATGAGGGAAGCTCCTGCAGCCAGTTTCTTCTGCACACTGGGACCTGAGAACAAGAGTGAGTGTAGAGTGCTGCTTCCTCCCACCCCCAGTCCCACTCCACTCATGCCACTGTGGGGGACAAAAAGGGGCTGCGGACAAAATTCTTTTTGCTTGGGGTGGCAAAAAATTTAGAGCTAGCCCTGGGGCTGGGCTGCTGCTTTCCCGCAGCTCCCCTTTGCTGCAGACAGTGAAACAGAGCCAATAGGAGCCACGAGCGCTGTGGCACCAGTAAATAAACAAACTTGCATGGCCAGTTAACAGGTTTCTCAAAGTGGTTTTGTGGACCATTTTGAGAAACACTGATCTAGACAAAGCTAAAAGTATGAAGTTCCTAAGCCTGTGTGTAGAAACTACATGCTCTTTTATGGTTTTAGAACACTTGAGGAGAAATTTCATGTTGGAATGTCACACAATTTTTAATTTTTTCAGTTTTGAAAAGATGCTATATAATTCATCTTCAAAATGCAACACTCTTTTAAAAAAAATAACAAAACCCTGATGCTTCATTACTGGAGTTGAGAACCTTAACCTTTACACTGCAGTGGTTTGGAGTTGCCAATGAGTCAAGCCAGGCTGTAGAATTTCCTAGCAATCCCTTTTGTACTCTGATCCCTTGTCTCGTTTACTTCTTTCCCATTCCCCTCTCGTTAGTCCACCCAAACTTAACTATTAGTGGCCATTTTGTATGTTATTGCATGACCTACTTTTGTGTTTGACATAACTAAAATGTTTATCAAGAATCTCAAGCAATTCATTAACATGAAAATTTTATGTTTGAATGCCAAAGGATAAACTGAAGCTTAGTCTTTAAAAATAAATAAATAAATAATACTGAGCTCCACTTGAAGGTTGGAGATAGCATTCAAGAAGTCAAGCAAGGAGTGCAAGTTGCTGTACAGAATGGAATGGAAGGGATATTACCTTGGCTTTGTAAGATCCTAGTGCAGGGGTTCTCAAACTTTGATATTCCATGACCCCCATCTAAGTTGCTCATGCGCCACAGTTTGAGAAATGGGGTCCTAGTGCTTTCTTTGAGATACAAAAAAACCTAAAGAACTTGAAAGTTATATAGTTATAAAATTCAATTTTGGCCATTGTAGAAATGACACACTACTTCAATGGGATACTGTAATAGCTGTGAAATCTTAAATTTATTCTAGGATGTTAAAGCTGAGCTTGACCTAGCTGGCGTGACTTCAGGGGAGTTAAAAATAAAACAAGTTAAGGAGAAATGATGTGCTGAATGTTCCTTACCCATTCTATTTAGAATACTTAGCAGAGAATTGTGGGATTGCTTTAAAAAATGTTGCAGGTCAGCTAAAGTCATTGTCCTTTTGTGGGATCAGAGCTACTCAATTGCTACTGTAACTAGCATGGCTTTACTAGGCATTTATGCTATTTTTGTCCAATGATTTAAAACAGTAATTGTTTTGAATTTGAACAGTCTCCTCTGCGCTGTATGGTACAGGGACTTTATATATGAAAACTTTTTGAGGAACAACTGTCTCCATAAAAAGTTAAAGGTATAGCACAGTTTTAATCCATGTATGCAGACTTTATTGTTCTTGAAGCACCATAATGCTTGAAGAGATGTTGAGTTTCACGTCTAGTCAGTTTTTAATACAGAAGATATTAAACCTACTTTTGAGTGCTTGTGGTTTTATCACACTTCACTGTTTTTAAAATGTTTGTCCCCCTGTTGCATGGAAGACCCACACAAACAAATATGAAAACTATGAAAGTAGACTGTTTGATGTGCAGTCAAATGCACAAAGTAAGTTGAGAAATAGTTTTTTAAAAAAAAAAAAAAATAACTGGAGGGTTACAGAAATGTTAAGCTACAAGTAATGCTAAAATTGACAGAATTAGATTGATGGCTTTCCTTAAAAGTTTGGGGAGTTAATTAGAAGTGCATGAATGATTAAGGGCCTGTTTTGATCATCAGAAATGTTACTTTTCCACTTGAGTGAATTTAACACAATTTGAAAAGTCTTTTGAATGCTTAAGACACCAGCTCAGGCATGCATTATGTATAGTTTTGGTACCATATAACTATTTTGATTGAAAGAGTTTACTTTTTAATTGAAATAATTATACTGTTGAAATGTCTAATATCAGTATAAAGTTGTCTTACTCCAGCATCACTGTGTCCACACTAGGGTACAGTGGGTTTTTAGTATAATTTGTGTGTAAAGACCCTATGAAGTGCATTTGAAGCCATTAGATGATAACGAGCTATGTTGTGTGTAGTGTAGTGTAATTGAAAATGCACTCTCTTTGCCCAGTAAGCTTTGCCATAAATGCCCTTGATTTTTTTTATTCTGTGGAGATGTTTTAAATTCAGAATTAAAATATTTATTTTCTTTCAATACTTCCCTAGTTCTGGAGCCTCGCAACTCAATTGTCTGGGATTTATACAGGATAAAATTACAGTATGTGCAACAAATGATTCTTATCAGATGACAAGAGAACGCATGACCCAGGCAGAAGAAGAATCTCGCAACCGCAGTACAAAGGTCATAAAACCTGGTGGGCCTTTTGTAGGTATGGTTGTATCTAATTTTTTAATCTAATAGACAATTAGAAGGTAGTAAGTCTGACAGTCTTCAAGGTCCATAACTACTTAGTCTACTGATAGACTAACTGAAGTGTAGGAACATAAGCTTTCGTGGGCAAAGACCCACTTCGTCAGATGCATGTAGTGGAAATTTCCAGAGGCAGGTATAAATATGCAGGCCAGAATCAGGCTAGAGATGACGAGGTGGACAAGTCAACTCTGGATTAAACAAAGACTGTGAATGGCTTGCTAACTACAAAAGCAGCTTCTGCTCTCTTGGAATTCACACCTCCAGATCAGCTATTAGAAGTGGGCCTCATCCTCCTTGATTGGATCCACCTTGTCATCTCTAGCCCGATTCTGGCCTGCATATTTATACCTGCCTCTGGAAATTTCCACTACGTGCATCTGACGAAGTGGGTCTTTGCCCACGAAAGCTTATGTTCCTACACTTCAGTTAGTCTATAAGGTGCCACAGGACTCCTCGCCGCTTTTGCAGATTCAGACTAACATGGCTACCCTCTGATACTTAGTCTACTGACACTTCTTACATCGGATCATCTCAAATTTTTTGGTAGTACAGCTTCATATCACCTATTCACACTGCCCCTCTTCTCTGTTCTCCTTCTCCCTATACTTTATAATACTTTTTCCTTCCTCGTTCCCTAGCATATTCTGATGGGATTTATGTTCCTTCTCAGAACCCTGTACACATGCTCCTTTAGAACTTTGATCCTCCAGTAGCCACACTGATTGATTGGCATGCTTCCTGCTTCTGAAGTACTTATTACAAATGAACAAGAAATTTTTAGCTTTTGCTAGTTGCTCTTCAAATTCTTTTTTGGCCTAATTTTACTTGACTTGCCGTAGTTTTATGCATCTTTCTACTTTTCCTTAGTAGACTCTGACTTCCAATTTTTAAAGGATTTTTTTTCCCTTCACACCACTTCTTTCATGGTTTAGCTATGGTGACCTTTCTTCTGGTCCTCTTATGTCTGGTTTTTGTTCTGTTTTTAATTTGGATGTATATTTAGTTTGAGCCACTGATCTGATGTGTTTAAATAGTTTCCATATTGACTGTGGCTATTTCATACCTGTGACTATTACTTCTAATTTCCATTCAACTAGCTTCCTCATGATTCCCCTTTTGAAAGTTAATGCTACATGGTATGTTTCTTTCGTTTTCTCCTTTCTTCAAGGATGTTAAATTTAATTACATTTTAGTTGATAATACTGATCAAGTCAGCTATGTTCGCCTCTTGGACTTAGTCCTGTTCTTTACTAAATAAAGAATTGTCTTCGCCTTGTGAGTTCTGGGCCTCGCAGTCATTAATGATGTTGAGAAGTTTTATCTCTGCATCCTGTCCTGAGAGAACACATTCCCAGTTAATATGGGGATAGTTGAAATCCCCCATTATTATTGGGATTTCTGGTTTTGTAGCCTCTCTAATTTTCCTTTCCTAATTTGTGGTCATTATCACCATCATCCTGGTCAGATGGTTGCTAGTACATGCTATTGTTATATTCTTATTAATCAAGCATGGAATTTATATCCATAACAATTCTATAAATTCTATGGAAGTTTTACTTTATTTACAGTTTTTACTATTTGAGTTTAGTGTCACTCCTCCACCAGTGCCATTTGTTCTATCATCCCTATATATTTGTATTTTGGTATTACTGTGACCCATTAAGTATCATTATTCCACCAAGTTTCTATGATGCCTATTATATCAATATCCTCATTTAATAACAGGCACTCAAGTTCACTCATTTTGATATTTAGATGTGCATTTACAGTATTTGCTAATATTTAGTTGTCTGCTTCCTTGTGATGTAACTGAATGGAACTTTTTTGGTTTGACTGTTTCTCTTCAGTTCCTGCCTGTATCTTTACTACTTCTGTCATCGCCTCATCTCTAGAATACATAGTATCCTCTTGAATAAATCCTCCCCTAAGGGATGTCCACGTCAGCCTCATAGAATCATAGAATAATAGGACTGGAAGGGACCTCGAGAGGTCATCGAGTCCAGCCCTCCGCCCTCAAGGCAGGACCAAGCTCCATCTACACCATCCCTAACAGATGTCTATCTAACCTGTTCTTAAATATCTCCAGAGAGGGAGATTCCACCACCTCCCTTGGCAATTTATTCCAATATTTGACCACCCTGACAGTTAGGAATTTTTTCCTAATGTCCAATCTAAACCTCCCCTGCTGCACTTTAAGCCCATTACTCCTTGTCCTGTCCTCAGAAACCAAGAGAAACAAATTTTCTCCTTCCTCCTTGTGACACCCTTTTAGATATTTGAAAACCACTATCATGTCCCCCCTTAATCTTCGTTTTTCCAAACTAAACAAGCCCAGTTCACGAAGCCTGGCTTCATAGGTCATGTTCTCTAAACCTTTAATCATTCTTGTCACTCTTCTCTGTACCCTTTCCAATTTCTCCACATCTTTCTTGAAATGTGGCGCCCAGAACTGGACACAGTACTCCAGCTGAGGCCTAACTAGTGCAGAATAGAGCGGCAGAATGACTTCACGAGTTTTGCTTACAACACACCTGTTAATACAACCTAGAATCATATTTGCTTTTTTGGCAACAGCATCACACTGTTGACTCATATTCAACTTGTGGTCCACTATGACCCCTAGATCCCTTTCCGCCATGCTCCTTCCTAGACAGTCGCTTCCCATCTTGTATGTATGGAACTGATTGTTCCTTCCTAAGTGGAGCACTCTGCATTTCTCCTTATTAAACCTCATCCTGTTTACCTCTGACCATTTCTCTAACTTGCTAAGGTCATTTTGAATTATGTCCCTATCCTCCAAAGAAGTTGCAACCCCACCCAGTTTGGTATCATCTGCAAACTTAATAAGAGTACTCTCTATCCCAATATCTACATCATTGATGAAGATATTGAACAGTACGGGTCCCAAAACAGACCCTTGAGGAACTCCACTTGTTATCCCTTTCCAGCAGGATTTAGAACCGTTAACAACAACTCTCTGACTACGGTTATCCAGCCAATTATGCACCCACCTTATCGTGGCCCTATCTAAGTTATATTTGCCTAGTTTATCAATAAGAATATCATGCGAGACCGTATCAAATGCCTTACTAAAGTCTAGGTATATGACATCCACCGCTTCTCCCTTATCCACAAGGCTCGTTATCCTATCAAAGAAAGCTATCAGATTAGTTTGGCATGACTTGTTCTTCACAAACCCATGCTGGCTATTCCCTATCACTTTATTACCTTCCAAGTGTTTGCATAGGATTTCCTTAATTACCTGCTCCATTATCTTCCCTGGGACAGACGTTAAACTGACCGGTCTATAGTTTCCTGGGTTGTTCTTATTCCCCTTTTTATAGATGGATACAATATTTGCCCTTTTCCAGTCTTCTGGAATCTCCCCTGCCATGATTTTTCAAAGATAATAGCTAAAGGCTGATACCTCCTCTATCAGCTCCTTGAGTATCCTGCGCCTTATGCCTGTCTGTTTTCTACTAGCCCTAAGTTTAGAAACTCCTCCATAGCCTTTTTAATTTTGCTTTGGGTCTGGTGGGAAAGAACTTTTGCTTCTAACCATTTACCTTTATGGAAAAACAGTCTGTTTGATTAATAAGCTGTTGAATATATTTATTTCATTATCTTTGAGCCTTTACAAACATGTAGTAACACTTTAATTTATTGGGAAACAATATTGCAGGAATGTAAAACCTTCTTCATTAGAAACAGAGTATTTTCTCAAATTTCTGTGGATTTGATCCTGAAACAAAGGTGTTGCATTTTACAGGTTTTTTTCTAGTGAAAAATCTTGGGTCAGTTACATAGATTTTTGGATACAATAGTTTCATTTTTGAAAGGGCATAGCACCAAATACTGTATCTGGCAGTACATTAGTCACTTTACTTCCAAGTTATGGTGCTAATAATATGTAGCTTTGGGTTCCTTAGACACCAATGAAGAACATGTTAGTTTCAGACGATTTTTTTTCCTTATTTAAAACGTAAGTTTAACATCAAGCTAATAGGATATTTTTTTCTCAGCCTGTAAACTACTTAAGAAAATATTTAAGGTGTGCATCTGTATAAACAAAGCAAAATATCTTGCCCTCCTAACAATATCACTTAAATTTGAGTAATTTCATTTCAGGCTTTTTGAGATCTTAACATAATGCATTTTATGATATCCTCTTTACACTAAACAATACCCTCTGAATTAAACTTTGGGAAAAATCAGATGTTTATAAATTGTGCAAGAGCTATTAATTTTTTTCCCCTTTTTAATTCTTGGACTTAGGTAAAAGAGTACAGATCCGGAAAGCACCACAGAGTATTCCAGATGCAGTGCCTGAAAGGAAAAGGTCAATGCCCATCAATCCTGCAAATACAATACGAAAGACCCACGTAAACAATGGTGTTTCACAGCGGCCATACAGGGACAGGGTGATTCACTTACTGGCACTGAAAACCTACAAGAAACCAGAGTTGCTTGCTCGCTTGCAAAGAGATGGTGTTAATCAAAAAGACAAGAACTCCCTTGCAGCTATCCTTCAGCAGGTGAGAACATTTGGACAGATTGCTTTTCTTGCTCTTTCTGCTCCTTTTCCAGTTTTTCTTAAAATATGGCAGTAACATCCTAAATAGTATTATCTAGAAAAGTGAGGGTTCACTTTGGTGAATGGCAAACACGTTCATTGTGTCTGGCTCTTTGACCGACTTCTTGAAATGCTGCTGCTCTGTTTTATAAGTAGTTAAAACAAACTTCCTGATCGTTTTGATGAGTTTATAGGAAGTTTGTAATACTGAAGATTTCTAAAGCTCTTTGTGAGGTGTCAAGGAACAATTGCTGGGTATATTTTTAGCTACCTTGTTCCTACTGTAGTATTTTTTCCCTTAGGAGGATTACTCTTGTTACTCCGAGCTGCTTAACTGGTCAATATAGTTTCTCTTAACTATTCAGACTAGTTCGCTAATAAACTTATGTTTCCTTTGACAGGTTTATTAGCTCTTTTTATAAAAAGGAAAGGGGTTTTAGAAGGTAATTTAAATGAAAAGAAATCTGTATAATAGTGTTGCATTTCATATTATTGGATTGAAGCTCTATTTAAATGTTACAGTAAACAAAAGATTTGTTTTCTTTCTGTCACAAAGAATTTCTGAGTAGTTCTTTGCTAAAAACATGAATGATATTTTAGAAGGAACTTCCAATCTGCAAATCTGTAAATACATCTGCAGAATTACCCGTGTATTGCATGTGTGTATGTGCCTGTAAAGATGACCGTGGAATTGAAGAGATGAAATCCTTTTTTTACACTGCACTATTCACACATTGCTTTTTGTGCACTGGTAGCTTGTGATGTCAAAGCCCCGGGAATGAATTACAGTTGTCTTAAGCCATCCATTATTCCTTCACTTCTTTAACCTCTGTTAAGAACATAAGAATGGCCATGCCAGGTCAGACCAATGGTCCATCTTACCATTCAGAGGGAATGAGCAGAACAGGGCAGTTTGAGTGGTCCATTCCATGTTCCACTCAGCGTGTCAGATCTAGAAACACTCAGAGCATAGGATTGCATCCCTGACCATCTTGGCTCACAGCCATTGGTGTACATATCCTACATGAATGTATTCATTTTTTAATCCAGTTATACTTTAAGCCATTACAAAATCCCAAGGAAACAGATTCCACAGGTTGACCGTGCTTTATATAAAGGATTACTTTATCTTGTTTTTGCTGCCCTATGCGCCATTGGCGTAACGGGCAGTAAGTAAGTAAGTTATCTTGTTTGTTTTGAACATGCTTTCTATTAATTTAATTGGGTGAGCCTGGTTCTTGAGTTGTGCAGAGGGGTAAATAACACCTATTGATCTACAAAGTTCATTACCCCCTAATGATTTTATGGGCCGCTATTGTATTCTCTCCTCCCCTCTCCTCCCCCCCCGCCCACACACCATTGTCCTCTCTTTTCTAAGATAAAAATAATTTCTGTCTTTTTTTTTTAATCTAGCCTTATATGGAAGCTGTTCAGTACCCCCTAATGATTTTTGTTACCCTTCTCTGTACATGTTCCAGTTCTAATATATCTTTTTGTGATGGGGCAAGCAGAACTGCATGCAGTATTCAAAGTATGGGTGTACCATTATCTTATTATCTGTCCCTTTCCTAATGGACCCTAACTTTTTTTTTAACTGGTGCTGCATCTTCAGCAGATGTCAGAGGTGATATCCAAAATCTATCTTGATTGGTGACACCTAGCTATGTGTAGACTACATGGCTCTGTCAACGGAGCCATGTAAAATAGTTTATTCAGCACAGTCAAAGAAGCAGGGATTTAAATAATCCCCGCTTCATTAAAATAAAAATGGCCGCTGTGCTGACGATCAGCTGATCTGGCACAGCGCGACAGTCTAGACATGGCACAGTCGACAAGAGACGCCTTTGTCGTTTGCTCCATTATGCCTTGTGAAACGATGAGTGCAGAAGTGGGGGCTCTCAAAAGTACCCGAAAACCTTATCTTCAGGCTTTGGTATAAAGTTTCCCCCCAAAAAATCTTAAATTTTGGGGGATAAAAATCTACTGCCACCACTCAAGTAATAATAAAGACGCCAGGGAAGAGATCACTTGGGAAATCTGAGCCCTGAAGTAAAACCAGGACACACAAAAATTAACCAATACCAGGTTAATAAAAAAGAAAGAGAACTTTTTTCATCACCACAATACTCCTGTTACAAGCATAATAACTAGATGGAAAAGTCACCAATTAATAAACTCATGAGGAATTCCACCATGGGCCAAAACTTCATTACAAAAGAAAGAGAACCCCATTTTTAAATGCACAGACATCAGATTCCCATTTCCAAACATTAAAACCTATCGGATTTATCTAAAGTTTACCCTACTTACAGATAGAGAAGAGTCTTTTCAGAGAGAGGGAGAGAGAGGTCTGTCTCCCTCTCTCAGCATCTGGAGAGAAACTGCCCAGAGATAAAGGAGGGAAAAAACAAAAATTCCTTTGTCCCAGTTTGAAATCCCTATCTGCATTTTTATTGGCTGACTGCTACCTGGCTTAGGTAAGGGACATAGTTAACACTTTAGTCTCCAGGCTGCTGGCCATCCCTCATGGTCATGACAGATGTCCATAACATCAAGACGCAGACCAAGATTGACATCTACAATGCTGTAGTCATTCCACTGTTGCTATATGGAGCTGTAGCCTGGACTCCCTATATTAAAGATCTGGAGAAATTCCACCAAAAGTACCGGAGGAGAATATTCGACATCATGTGGCAGGAAAGATGGACCAATGTTAGTGTCCTCACAGAGGCTGATTCCTTTAGCATTGGAGCAATAATTGCCCACCACCAGCTATGATGATCTGGTCACGTGGTCAGGATGCCTGACACACATTTGTCTAAGCAGATTTTCTACGCTTAGGTGAGGATCAGGGACAAGGTCTCCTGGTGGGTAGAAGGAGCATTACAGGGATGTCCTTAAGAACACGTTGGTAAAGTGCAACATTGACGCTGACACCTGGGAGAAGTAGGAGAAGGATTGAGTAACCTGAAAGACCACCATCAAGAATGGTGCCCAATGTTTTGAGATCAAGCAATGTATCCATGAAGACCAAAGAGCCTGATGTAAGGAGTGTGCCCAGGCCCACATTAGTACCGCTGGTGTCGGCGCCAGTGGAGATAAAACCTCACATGTAGTCACTTTCAGAGAGTGTTTCTTGCCAAAATTGGCCTAATTTTTCATTTACACACTCATCAGTTATAGGTGCCCAAGGGGAAATCTCCCTCGATTTGAGGGATCCCAGAGAGAGAAAATAGTTGAGTAACTGCATGAAGTCTTATTGGTTATGTGACTATTCTATAGTCCCCAGGGGTGGGACTGGCAGCCAGTGCACTTCGGCCCCAGTCCTGGGGAGCCCCCGCTATCCCGTGCTGCTGCCTCTGTATCAGAGGTAGTAGCATGGGGTGCTAGGTGGAAGCTGATCCGTAAGAGGAGACCGTTTAAAAACCAGCTCACCACACAGACCTGCTCCGTCTCCCTTGTCTCCGTCTCGGACACCCTGTGGACAGGGGCTGCTGCTCCGTGGGAGGCAGAGCATCCTCTGTCCGTGGCAGGCACACAGCACCACGTAGTCAGTTTTGGGGAAACAGTTAATTGTAGAGTCAGCTACACGCTGACATCCAAAAACTCAAAATGGCCCTAGTGGTGATCCAGGCAATTATGAACTGGTAAGTCTAACATCAGTACCGGGCAAATTAGTTGAAACTATAGTAAACAATAAAATTGTCAGACACATAGACATAATTTGTTGAGGGAAAGTCTACATGGTTTCTGTAAAGGGAAATCATGCCTTAATAATCTGCTAGAGTTCTTTGAGAGGGGGTCAAGAAACATGTGGACAAGGGGATCCAGTGGATATAGAATATTTAGATTTCCAGAAAGCCTCTGACAAGGTCCCTCACCAAAGGCTCTTAAGTAAGTTTTCATGGGTTAAGAGGGAAGATCCTCTTATGGATTGATTACTGGTTAAAAGACAGGAAACAAAGGGTAGTAATAAATGGTAAGTTTTTCAGAGTGGAGAGAAGTAACTAGTGGGGTTCCCCCAAGGGTCTGTCCTGAGACCAATCCTATTCAACTTATCTATAAATAATCTAGCAAAAGGGGTAAAATTTGCAGATAGTACCAAACTGCTCAGGATACTTAAGACCAAAGCAGACTGTGAAGAGAACTAAGTGATTGGGCAACAAAATGGCAAATGAAATTTAATGTTGATAAATGTAAAGTAATGCACATTGGAAAAAATAGTCCCAACTATACATACAATATGATGGGGGACTAATTTAGCTACAACTATTCAAGAGAGATCTTGGAGTCAATGTGGATAGTTTTCTGAAAACATCCACTCAATGGGCAATGAGTGTCAAAAAAGCAAACAATGTTAGGAATCATTAAAAAGGGAAAGAATCATAGTGCCTCTATGTAAAACCCTGGTACGCTCACATCTTGAATACTGCATACAGATGTGGTCGCCTCATGTTAAAGATATATTGGCATTGGAAAAGGTTATGAAAAGGGCAACAAAAATGATTAGGGGTATGGAACAGATCCCGTATGAAGCGAGATTAAAAAGATTGGGACTTTTCGATTTAAAAGAGGAGACTAAGGGGGGATATGATAGAGGTCTATAAAATTATAACTGCTGTGAAAAATATGAATAAAGAAAAATTTACTTGTTCCGATAATATAAAAATTAGGGGTCACCAAACGAAATTAATAGGTAGTAGGTTTAAAATGAACAAAAGGAAGTTTTTCTTCACTCAGTGCACAGTCAACCTGTGGAACTCCTTGCCAGAGGACATGGTGAAGACTAGGACTTTAACTAGTTCTTTTTTGAACCCTGTTAGATTCATGTAGGTTAGACCCATCAATGGCTATAGCTAGGATGGGCAGGAATGGTGTCCCTATCTTCTGTTTGTCTGGAAATGGGTGACAGGAGAGGGAGCACGTGAGGATTACCTATTGTGTTCCCTCCCTCTGGGGCATCTGGTATTGGCCACTGTCAGCAGACAGGATACTGGTCTAGATGGACCTTTGGTTTGACCTGTATGGCCGTTCTTACATTCTTATCCCAAGTGGTATGGCATATCTGTCTCAATATCTGCTACCTCCCCAGTGCATTCACTTTTCCAAAAAGTGTGCCATGCAAAATGCTTGAAGTACTACTTGACCTTCAGAAGCCAGCAGGCTCAACATAGAGCTAATTCATCTTATTTCCACAATGCACACTACAAAGTGGGGGAGAGGGGTTTGTTCAGTAATGCTGTCATTTCATCAGCAAAGTTATAATAGATCTTTTCTGAGATAATATTACACCATGACTGGATTTGAATAGGCAAATGTATTTACTTCTTTCTAGGTGGTAAATCTGGGAGCCTAAACATAATTACTGTTTGTACAAAACAAATTAGTTATTGAAAGTACTATTTATAGTTTCTAACGAATGGGTCTGCTGTTTAATTTTTGGTAACTTCTGTTTCAGACAATATGGTGGGTCACTAAAATTCTTTACAGGCAAAATTTAGGCATGTGCAAGTCCTAGTATTCGATATTTGAAATATAGTATCACAGCCATCTATGATAGTACGTAACACACTTAAAAATGAGACACGGGCCAATACAAAACACACCTAATTAATGTACTTGATCTACTGGTACAGATTTAGATACCCTCTTTCTTTTGAGACTCTGAGTCTAAGTCCAAGTTTGAGGGGGGTGAGCAAATCTGCATAAATCACAATGATTCTGTCCATGTGCTTTTCAGTGTACAAGGTTCTCTTTATAATCTTGACCACAAGTAATAGGCAAAGTACCTCTTCCTAAACTCTTGGAGAAACAACAACTTCAGAGGTCTGTTGCAGATGGTACAGTTGAAAGGTCTAAAATGGGATTTGAAGAGGAAAAGTTGCCAAACTGATGCTTGGATGTGGCAGGCATCAGTGATCATGGCCTTTTATCAACATGGCTTTTTTTTTTTTCCAAATAATACACAATGTATTTCTCTTTACGAAAGAAAGGGCACTATTAGAAGCTATCTTAAAGTAGAGCACTAATGGGATGAATACGCTAATAAACAAGCATTAACTAGTATGGAATTATAGGAATTTTTTCCTGGAGTTCATGGATATTTGTTTTGCATATGCATTTGAGACATACCATAGATTTAGGAGTGGAATTGGGCATGTACTTCTTTTCTTAGTTAAATTCGTGCTAAAATTTTACTTGTACCTTATTGCATTTTTAAAATATATTCATGTATATGGCCAGGTCCACCAACAGAAAAGCAATGGGGACAATTACCCTGAAGCCCATTGATTCAAAAGGGCCCGTAGCTCCAAACTGCTGCTTCTGTGGCAGTGGTGGTGGCTAGGAGCCCCAGGTCCTTTAAATCGCCTCCAGAGCCCTGCGTGATGCTGAAGGGCTGGTGCCGAGAAATGCAGTCTGGATGGCACTAGGAGCAACTGTTCATAGCCCTGCCTCTTGCTCCAGAAGCCCGGCCTCTTCCAAGAATGCAGAGCCAACCCCCCCACCTTGCCAGGGGCCTGGCAGTTCTGTTGACCCCCTTTACATGGCTGAAATTGTTGTATTTGTCTTCATTAAACTAAGTTTTCTTAGGTAGACATAGGACACTCATTGCACTTACAACTATTTTTGTCCTTTTGTCATTAAAGGAAAAAGTAAATAGGGTCAAATGTTGTACTAGCTTACCACTATCTGGTGCAATGCTACAGCTTCATGTGGTTTCAGAGAAGTGTGCATGTACTAAATTCAGTGACCCAGTCCCTGGGAAACAAGAAAAGCTACCTGACTTGGTCATAATCATTTGGCTAGATAAAAAATGGCCTTGCTGGTACACAGCATTAGTTACCATTATTCTCAGAGCTGTGCCTACTTTCCTTTTTTTTCTTGTGATATAGTATCATTCATGTTTGCAGAACTGGAAGAATAAACACTTGAATTATTTTTGAACTTGAATGCCTAACATTAGAATTCTGAATTTAAGTACCTAAATTCACACACCCAAGATTGAATATTTTTGTATTTCAAAATATTCCTTTATATGAAAGGTCTGTTCTTTGTTGCCTTTAAAGCTGAAGGCCAGAAAATACTGAAACATTTTATTTTTCATTTTTTTAATTTTCAAACTGTATTTAAACTGTCAGTCTATTCTAGTAATTGCTACTTGTATTTTTGAATATATAATTGTAGGTAGCGAACTTGAATGCCAAGGACAACTCTTACACGCTGAAGGAATATGTATTTAAAGAGATCCAAAAAGACTGGCCTGGGTACAATGAGATAGACAGACAGTCATTGGAGTTATTACTTTCTAGGTAAGTTCAGTCTTTTTGTTTAAAGGGTAGCAATACAAGAATACATTATTTGAGAGTAACCAGCTTCTTTCTTACCAAATAATGTAACATCTGTTAACATATTTTTCTTGATTCTCCCCTCCCCCCCCTTTTGTAACCTGGAATATGGGTGATCTTTATAGAAAGCTAAATTCATCTCAGAATGCCACCAGCACCAGTCATTTGGAATCTCCTCTAAGTTCTTCTAAAGATGCTGCATCTGCTTCTCCTTCCCAGGTATTTAATATCTTTATATTGCAATATGATGCAATCAGACATAATACATATGAGCTCTATATTGTTGGGAAGCTTTAATAATGTAACAAGCGGCACTAATGCCCTTTCTAGCATATTAAAAAGGTGAAGCAACTATTTCCATATAATTGGATGGTGGCATAGAATATCACTTAAAAATAGTTGCACCGTAGAAGACTGTGTAACTAATATGAGGGTTTAAAAAAAATCTTGTGTAATCCCTAAGAACCTCTAAACTTAATAATCCCTCTCTATTTAGAGATCAAATAGCCATGCTAATTTAGAACTTTGGAATAGGGAAATGCGCGGGGGGATTTAAATAAACATGGCCGCCGCTTTTTTTCCGGCTTGGGGAAAAGCCGGAAAAGAGCATCCAGACTGGCGCGATCCTCCGGAATAAAGCCCTATTCCGGAGGAATAAGAGATCCTCCGGAATAGGGCTTTATTCCAGAGGATCGCGCCAGTCTGGATGCTCTTTTCCGGCTTTTCCCCAAGCCGGAAAAAAAGCGGCGGCCATGTTTATTTAAATCCCCCCGCGCATTTCCCTATTCCAAAGTTCTAAATTAGCATGGCTATTCCAAAGAAGGGGCCAGTGTAGACGTAGCCATAGTGTAGAAATAAACCAGACTCCTATCTAGATGGCTCATAAAATGTTTTGTGAACCTAGATTGTCAAATTAGGCCTATTGCTATCTGAACGCCACGAGGTCATATTTACTTTTTAGATCTCCATTATTGTTACACAATCATTTTCTGGTTGTTAAATAAGCAAAAAATATAGCTCATATATTGCCAAACAGTTTATCTTGCTGTGTCTTGGTATTTCAAATGAAGACTCTTGTACCTTGTTGTATTCTATAGTTGTTTGATGCTTTGTACTGTCATATTGATTTACTTTTTCTGTCATGCTGACATTTTTATGCTGCAGCCTTTTAACCCTTAGTTTAAATGCAGTATCTACACAGGAAAAGACATAACTATGCTGTTTTAGGGCAGTAATATTCTGTTTGTGGCAAAGAATCTTCATCTATTGTTGCTGTCCGTATTATGCAGTTATCAGTTATGATTAAGTATAGTCGACTGGTTAAAAGATGGAACTGAGTCAGAAGATCTGAGTTCTAGACTCAGTCTTGCTTCTGGGGTATTGGATAAATTTCTTATTTCTCCATGCTTCCCTTTGTTCATCTAGAAGAATGGACATATATTCAGTCTGATAGAGCATGAGTAGACTAACAGATCAAAAGCACTATTTAAGATAACGTACCACTGATTAAAGTAAACATAAAATAGCACTATAGCAATGGCAGTAGAAGAACATTCTAAAATTTATTTTGTGGTGCTTGCATTTGCTGTTTCAGGGCAGATGAAACAATACTGAACATCCTGTGCTGGGATCCTTAACATACTCAGGAGGGATATTAAAAATACTTACCTGGTTTTTGCTAATGTTTCTCATGATAATAGTGAATTAGTATGAATTGTGTGGTTCCCTCTTCTTATCTGCTCCAATGCACACACTGAATCTGGAAGTAATTCATCTGTGGTGCAGAGCTGTGCCTGGCACTTCTGGTCAGAGGCACTCCTTTGTACTGAAACATAGGCTGTATATGCTTAAGCAAATTGACATGAGTCAGACAGTATTTCAAAAGAACTGCAGTGTTCTCTGAAAATCATTTAGAACCCAGCTCCCTACAGCAGAAACTAGATTTTCCTTGTCCCTTTTTGAAGTTCAGTCTTTCTGATTAAACACTGTTCCATGTTGGTTTGAAATGCTTGAATAAAAGCATTGCCTCTATGGAGAGAGCTACTTACTGAATGTATCTGCACTGCACAAATACCTAGAGTACTGAGTAACCTGTCATGTTCCCACATGGATTGTAATACTTCCTCAAAGTCTTGTATACAGATCTGAAGAGTATGTTCTCAGACAAATTTTTAAACTATCTAAATTTATTTTTGAATATGAAAGCCTATATTAAGTTGTTGTGAACTTCATCTCATCTAAAGATAAACTAGCAAGCATAAGAGACTAGGTTTTAATTTGTTTTTGTAAACATACTTTAGAATTAGATTAAATGGAAACTAATGGCCTTTTTATTGCAGAAACGGCTATTGGATTCAGATTTTATTGATCCTTTAATGAATAAAAAACCAAGAATATCTCACCTTACCAACAGAGTTCAACCAACATTAAATGGTCATTTGACTGCTTCCAATGAGAGAACTGCTGCTGCTCCACCACCACCACCTCCCCCTGCAGCTGCTGCCACTCCAACCCCTCCAACACTTCCTTCAACTCGCCTTCCTATTTCAAACCCTCTTCAGCCGGTAAACTCTAACTCCAATTCCCCTAGCACTCCTGAAGGCCGGGGAACTCAAGACCTGCCTGTTGATAGTTATAGTCAGAATGGCAGCAGCATCTTTGAGGACCAGCAAGAAAAATATACCTCTAGGACTCCTTCAGAAATGCCAGCACCCACTGCAGTTGAGTTAACGTGTCCAAAGTCAACAGATGAGATACATTCAGTATTGCACAAAAAATCCAAAAAGAAGTCAAAAAAACATAAGGAGAAGGACCAAATCAAAACACACAACATGGAGAATATGGAAGAGAAGGAAAAAGACCTTAAAGAAGAAATTGTCAAGCAGAAAACGTCCAGTTTGGATTCAAGTGAAGGTATTTGAAGTGCTGCTTTTTAAAATTACTTTTAAGGATAAGTGGGACTGATGAGGTGGGTAAAACAATGGATTGGAAAAATACCTCAATTCTACTTCTCCCTGCCACTGACTATAAACATTGAACCAAGTGACTTACCCTCTCTTTGTTGCCTCCTTCCATAGCTATAAAATGGGGATATTGATAGTTATCTGCCTTTATATGTAACAACTTTCACCTGAGGCAAAGTGCAAATTTTCACCTTACAATGCTTAAAAGTTGTATACAAACAGTGGGGAGGAATGACTTCTCTACATAAGTGTCTGGCACTTCAGTCAAATTGTTCTTCAATTTTATGTTTGGTAAGCCTAACAAACTTTTAAATAAAATAAATAATTCTTTAGTTTAAAAAACAAAACCAAAGTAGTATTCCTTTTTGTTCTCTCCTGATTATTCAACACTTTCTTCCAACAATGAATTGTCCATTTTTTAAAAGTAAGTGCTCTCGTATCTCTGAGTGCAGGGCAGTTTAATTATTAAACTGATTTGATCTAATACAGTTATCAGTGAGCATTATTACTGTCCTTGTTTTCTGCATTTTTCAGAGAACTGACACTGACTTCATGGCTGTGAAATGACTTCTAAAGAAAAAGCAAATTAGTTGAAATCTGACGATAAGTAAACATCGTTATTGAATTATGTATTAGTGTTCTTATTTCACAGTGTCTGGAAGATCAGTCCCACAGAAAATTTCTGAATTTTGCAAATTAACTAGTAAAAGTACACACTAAAAGCAAGAGATAATGTTGCATAACGTATGCATAGCTGCAAATTATTTTTAATTACAGTAGCAAACATAATGTGATTTGTAACAGAAATCTAGCATTGTGAATCTTTACCTCAGAGCAGTCCAGATTTCTGAGAGTAGGGAAGAGAATACCAGTTTTCTTTATGCCATACACCTTGCAACTTTCTCAAATGGTACTAAAGTCTCAGTTTGGAAACTTTTCTCCTTCCTTTTTTCTCGCTTCAAAAATTATTCTTGCTACTACTTTAAGCAATAATGGAGAGGATATAAAACTCTTAAAATTCTGGTTGCAAAACCGAATAAAAGCTTACCAAATACATTTGTGTTCCTAATTATTTTTTTAAGTCAGTGGAATGTGACTGTTAATTCAAAATCCATATTGATTGGTGCTACAAAATGTTTAATGTGGGCATTTAGTAAACCAATATCGAATTAGGGCAGTTCCTTTAATCTTGAATATCACATTTTAAATAAATAACTTTTATTAAGTCAGAAATTAGATTTATCCCTCACTTATACTGAAACTGTCTTAGCTCTGGAAACAGACCTAATTGTATGGATTGGGCTCTTTGAAAGTATTTCTGCTCTTGTAGGCTGCTGATGGATACACCTGGATCTTTGTTTCATTTAGACACACCATAAAGCTGCCCTTTCAGGGTTGGAATAGATGTTTCTGAAACTCTTTGTGTTCAATACACCAGTATATGATAGCATTCAGGACACTGTCAGTCACAGAATACTAAATGCCTAGAAAATTTCTACAGCACTCACAACCTCTTAGGCACATTCAGAGGAAGACCTGGTGGTAAAATAGCTTTTTGAAAAAAAGTGTTCCTTTTTTTAAATTTAATTTTGTTCATAGTACTGAAATTTGGCCAACAAAAGTTTAATTTGTTTATTTCAATATCTCACTGAATTGATAATTAAACTTTGGCCTTCTCCTTTTAGAACTTGAAACTAGTACAAAGAATGCCACTTATAGGAAGAGCAATCACTCGGTATAAATATAACTGTTTTACTCAGATATTTTCTGGTTGAAATCATATTTATTCTTACTGACCTCCTAACTATTGGAATCAGACTGCTTTGGCCAGAATATTGTTCAAAATAACTCTCTTTTCTGCAGCGTAAGCATATACTTGCTTACGGTATGTGGGGTGGGGTATTCAGAAACTTGCTGGCAAAACTAAACTTATAATTTTGTATTTTTTCCCATAAGTTTTAAATACCCCATTCCAAATATAAAAATACTTAAGACAAAAGAATGGCCATATTGAGTCAAACCAGTGATCAGTTAAGTCCAGTGTCCCATTTTGACAATGGCCAGTGCTAGAAGCTTCAGAGAGAATAAACAGGAAAGTACAATTTATATCACATGTCATCTACTCTCAGCTCCTGGCAGTAGGGTTGCCAGGAGGTGTCCGGTTTTGAACCGGGCAGTCCAGTATTTGAGCTTGCTATCCAGGGAAACAAATTGAGAAAATACCAGACATACAAATGTCTGGTATTTTATAATTAAGTTTTATTATTATCATGAGTACCAGTACGTAGTTGCGTACTGCCTGGCTGGTAAACACGGTCACACATCCAGGCAGTACACAACTACACAGCAGAGAGGGGGGGCAGAGCTGGGGCGGGATGTAATTCCCAGGTTGGACTCGCCTGTGCACCCTACCGGGACCGTGCACAGAACGGGCAGCACCCCAGGATTTGCGTGCTCCCAGGCCAGCCCTGCTCCTCCTGACCCCCTCCCAGCCAGCCCTGCTCCC